TCCATGCCTTCCGCATAGCCCTTAAAACCTGGCTGTCCCGACAGGCCTGGGGCTAAAGACTTGCAGCCCCACTTCGAACGGTATGATTGTTGTGTTTTTTTTTTAGCTGTGTATGATTTTTATGTTCTGTATTTTGTTTGTTTTTTCTCCCCTCCCTTGAATTGTGAGCCGCCCTGAGTCCCCTCCGGGAAAAGGGCGGCATACAAATAAAGTAATCTAATCTAATCTATTGCATGTTTTGACAGCAGCGAGAATTGTTAGGGAAGCCTGGATTGATTCAAGAGAAGTGCAATTGTTTATCTCTACCTCCATATAAAGGGGGAATATCAGTAGGCTTGTGAAGGAGGAGGAGGACAGCAGAAGTTTTCAGGGTTACCAGTGTTAAAAAAAAGAAGCCCAGTGTTAAAAAAAGACGCCCTATTCTAACAAAGCAATCTGTATCGTTTAAGTTTCTCTTACCAGCTGACATCAAGATATCGGAGGGTGCTATTGTTGTACAAGGCATCGCACAGACGTTCAATCCCAAAATTCTTCATTCCATGTTTACATAAATGCAATTCCACCAAGGTGCAGTTGACTCCCAGCATGGAAGCTATGTGGATGGTGGTTTCTTCCTGAAGTTCCATATTATTAAATTACATTTTGAACCTATTCCAGGTAGCAATAACACTTAAGACTTATATACCTCCCCATAGTGCTTTACCACCCTCTCTAAGCAGTTTACAAAGTTATCCTATTGTCCCCAAAAATCTAGGTCCTCATTTTACCAACCTCAGAAGAATGGAAGGCTGAGTCAACCTTGAGCTGGTGAGGATCAAACTCCTGGCAGTGAACTGAATTAGCCTGTAATACTGCATTCTAACCACTGCGCCATCATGGCTCTTAACCGCAACCTTCCCCAACCTGGTGCTTTCCAAGTGTGAAGAAGGGAGATATGTTGGTTTCATCTGGGTTTGGCTAGTGTAGATTCAAAGGACGAGGAAATTTGACATTGCCTAAGACTTTTGTCCATATTTATAATTACCATCTATTCTTTCCCGGAGGGAGGGAAATCAACTTAAATTTAGGGGTGTTTTCAAAGCCATGTGTCATTGCTACTAAAACTGCTCAGCATACTCACTTCTTCACTGTACAGAATTGGCCTATTGAGATTTATAGCTTTAATTGATTCATTGTGATGCAAAACAGTTGCCAAAGCTATCATGCTCTGCGTACCCTGAGAATAAAAAAATAACAAATTCAGAAAATGACAACTCGGCTCCACAGTTAAACTTTTAAACAATTTAAGCTAACACTTAAAATGTTTTATATTCTGTTCAAAACCATAATGGTAAATCTTTCTTGGCTGTGTACTATAAACATGGTTGAATTAGGTTTCTCTTTTTGACAAGTCTCTCAAATAATTTTGTTTTAACTTTACTTACCAGGTCACAGTCTCCAAAATCTAACTTCTCTATTGTGCAGTTCACCTGCATCATAGCTGCAAAATACATTCCTCCTTTATTCTCAATCTTGTTGCCCGTCATTCTTAAGTAACACAGTGTTTCGTTCCTCTGGAAGGAAAGCTTCAATCATTTCTTTGCAACAGTTTAAATTGGTCCCCCTCGGGCACCTTCCAAAATCCCTACCCAGCATGGCTCTTTCCCAATCCTCTGCCAATGCTACAACTTTAATATTCACAATTTCCACAGGGAATTTAAAATACGTGCCCACCCCCCACCCACCCCGATGATGTCAGGCTGAGGAGAGACTGGTGGTATCTCTGACATTCTATATCAGGGTGTTTCTCAATCTTGACAACTTTCAGATGTGTGGAAGACTTCAACTTCCAGAATTCCTCAACCAAGATGCATTCTGGGAGTTGAAGTCTTCCACACAGCTTAAAGTTGTCAAGGCTGACAACCATTGTTCTATATATTTGGAAAATTGGGCTTTTTTCTAAAATCGTCTAATTGCCATTAAGAGAGGGAGAAAGCTTTGCTGCAAGTGGAATTATAGGTCCAGGTTACCTGAGGAATGGACTCACCCCAATGGGATTGACCCATGCTGGCAGGGAGTATGCTGGAGTATGCTGAGGACTCTGGCTGGCAGCGTCCAGAAGGGCCTTTTCTGCAGTGGCTCCTGCTCTCTGAAACATTGTGCCTTAAAGCCTGGCTCTGCCAATTGATTTGAGACCCCAATGGAGGCGTTCCATACTGAAAATAGTTGGTGGACTGAGAGAAGATTCTACTGCTGCCCCATTTGTATCCTGCTTCCTTCCTTAGCAATCTTTATTAATTTTAAAGTTTATTTATCATTTTAATATTTTATTTTAATTTAAAATTAATAGTATAATGTTAACGATGTAAAAAAAAAAAAGATGTTGAGAATCTAGAAAGAGTGCCAGAAAGAGCAACAAAGATGATTAGAGGACTGGAGGCTAAAACGTATAAAGAACGGTTGCTAGAATTGGGTATGTCTAGCTTAATGCAAAGAAGGACTAAGGGTGACATGATAGCAGTATCTAAGAGGCTTCCACAAAGAAGAGAGGATCTATCCATTTTCCAAAGCACCTGAAGGCAAGACAAGAAGCAATAGATAAAAACTAAAAGAGGAGAGGACCAACACATAAATAAGGATAAGTTTCCTGGCAGTGAGAAAAATTAATCAGTGGAACGACTTGCCTCCAGAAATTGTGGGTACTCCAACAGTGGAGGTTTTAATGAAGAGATTGGACAACTATTTGTCTGAGGCGGTATAGAGTCTCCTGCTTGAGCAAGGGGTTGGACTAGAAGACCTCAAATGACCCTTCCAACTCAAGTTATACTGTTATTGTTGTTAATGCTTTATATTGTTGTTTTTACGGTGTTTTAAGTGGCCTAGAGTCACCTGAGGGCAGAATGGATGGCACATAAATTTAATAAGCTAACTATTAAAAATAATTCCATAGCAATTACGTCTTATCATTCATCTGCTGTCCTCCTCTTCTTGCACGGAAGAGCACATTTCATTAAGTGTTGCTTTAAAATAAGCAGTAGGGTTGTGCAAAGTTTTTGAAAGGATTCACTTCATAAACTGAGTTTGCAGGTGCAAATCAGTTTTGAAGCTCTGAAGCAAAAAGGCCTAGGCAGATCATGTACTGAAAGGCATCTTGCTCACAATGTACCCGCCTGGGTCCTTAGCGATAATTTTTCATTTGGATTCGGGGCCAGATTTTTACCCTCTAGCAAAGAATTAAGCAAAGAAAGAATTCAAGGATTCTGGGAGTTGAAGTCTACAAGTCATAAAGAGGCCATCGTTCCTCACTTCTGGCCTACGAGCTTGTCCTGCACAGAGACCCTAACAAAACTGAATCCACTCCCCAACTGCCTAGTTTGAATCCATTGAGTCAAAGACATTACATCAGAGGTGGTATTCAGCAGGTTCTGACCAGTTCTGGATAACCGGTAGCAGAAATTTTGAGTAGTTTGGAGAACTGGTAACTACCACCTCTGGCTGGCCCTGCCCCCATCTATTCTCTGCCTTCCGAGTCCCAGCTGATCAGGAGGAAATGAGGATTTTGCAGTAATCTTCCCCTGGAATGGGAAGGGAATGGAGATTTTGCAGTATCCTTCCCCTGCCACGCCCACCAAGCTATGCCCGCAGAATCGGTAGTAAAAGAAATTTGAATCCCACCACTGCTTTACACCTCAATGTGCCTTGATCCAAATGGGAAGCTCATGTGGCTTTCTGTGGATTTCTCCCAGAGTGATACACACTTACGTGCATTGCTTTAGCTATGAATTCTGCTCCAAGGGTACCAATGTCGTTGAACATCAGATTGAGGTAGAGCAGGGTCCGATTATCCTACAATACAAAAACATGGGGTGTGTTGTTAATGTTGTCCTCCCTGGGTCTCTTTCACACCCTTCCAAAGATTGGTTTCCTTAGGATGAATGCACAATGCACATTCCAGTTTGGCCAGCAGCCCAACACTTGCAACACGTGGCTGAGAGTTTGGGCCCAACAGTTACATGGCTCCATGCAATTTTCCATCTTAGGTACAGATTTGGGGAGGATTTCTGCTCTTGTCTGTCATGATGAAAATGTAAAAATATAAAAGGAAAAAGGCAAGAGCTGCTGAGGTCAGGCTGGGTTAGCTGCTGCCAGAGTCCCCAATGGTTGACTCTGCTTAACTGTTTAAAAAAGCTCTAAAAAAACGCCCTCTACAGGAGGAGGCAAGAGAACCATGTGCCTCATCTATATAAGGAATTTTTCGGCTTTTAACCCTTGCTTAACTCTGCTCGAGTAATCATAAAGTCAGACTAAATGAGGCACATGGTTCTCCTACCTCTTCCTGTAGAGGGCACTTTTTTAGAGGCTTTTTTAAACAGTTAAGCACTAAGCAGAGTCATCCACTGTGACTCTAGCATCAACTACCTCAGCCTTTTTCTTTTTACATTTTTTTCTTTTCATGATGACACTGGTGAGGCTCTGCCTCCCCTGACTGTACGTCACTGTCACTTCGGCCGATCCGGGCCGATCCAGCTGAACACCACCTTTGTCTGCAGGCCATTTCCTGGAATTCTCCTTCAACACAAAAGTAATATTGCGAGCAGTCCTTGACTTACAACCATCATTTAGCCGCCATTCGACTTTTCAACAGCATTTGACTTACTTAAAGTGACCTACAATCAGTCCTCGTATTCCCAACCATCATGTGATCAAAATTCAGGCAGTTGGCAGCATGTTCTTATGACAATTGAAAGAGCCCGGGATCATGTGATCACCATTTGCAATCTCCCCAGCTGACTTCCAACAAGGAAGTCAGATTGCCCGTGAATCCAGGGAAGCCTGATTCACTTCAGAACTGCATGATTCCCTTAACAACTGCAGTGATTGCCTTAAGAACCGTGGCAAAAGGTGGTGGCAAAATCGGGTCTGACTCAGTTAGCAAGTATATTGCTTAGCAACAGAAACTCTAATCCTAATTGTGGTCATAAATTGAGGACAACCTGAACTAGGCTGGGTTTATGAATTTTAGAATTTCCACCCTGCAAGAAGAGACTGAGAGTTTTAATTGCAAGAGCCATGGGGAGCAAATGCAATTCCATCCCAAGAATTTCAAAGAACAGGGATTCGTAGTTTGCTTGATAGATACCTGAATGAAAGCAGCAATGTGGGCTGCGCCAGCATCAGTTAAAAGATTGTATCTTAGGTCCAGCCCTGAAAAAACCAAAGGATGCAAAAATGAACACACCGCAGCTGTAATCACTTTTGTAACAATACCTTAACACTTCCCGTCACATTCTCTAAACCAAAACTGCATCCAATTTGGGTTAGCAATAGCAATAGCAATAGCAGTTAGACTTATATACCGCTTCATAGGGCTTTCAGCCCTCTCTAAGCGGTTTACAGAGTCAGCATATCGCCCCCACAGTGTGGGTCCTCATTTTACCCACCTCGGAAGGATGGAAGGCTGAGTCAACCTTGAGCCGGTGAGATTTGAACCGCCGAACTGCAGATAAGAGTCAGCTGAAGTGGTTGCAGTACAGCACTCTAACCACTGCGCCACCTTGGTTCTTATACCATGGGTTGCCATGGTATAAGAAAAGATGTTGAGACTAGAAAGAGTGCAGAGAAGAGCAAGCAAGATGATTAGGGGACTGGAGGCTAAAACATAAAGGATGATTGCTGAAATTGGGTATATCTGGTATAATGAAAAGAAGGACTAGGGGAGACATAATAGTAATGTTCCAATATATAAAGGGCTGCTACAAAGAGGGAGCCAAGCTATTCTCCAAAGCACCTGAAGGTAGGACAAGAAACAATGGGTGGAAACTAATCAAGGAGAGTTCCAACCTAGAACTCAGGATAAATTAGCTTTGTAAAACAATTAATCAGTGGAACAAATTCTCTCCAGAAGTTGTGAATTCTCTAACATGGAGAGTTTTTAAAAAGAGATTGGACAACCATTTGTCTGTAATGGTATATGACAACGGTCACCAACTGGTGGCCCATGGACCACTGGAGGTCCGCAGAATTATTATTTTTTTGCATTTTTTATATTGCACTAAATACTATTTATCATTTTTAAAAAAATCATATTAGTGGTTCGCGGGATTTAAAATTAGGAGTTAGTGGTCCCTGAAGTCTGAAAGTTTGGTGATCCCTGGTATAGGGGGTTTCCTCCCTAACCAGGGGGTTGGACTAGAAAACCTTCAAGGTCCCTTCCATCCCTGTTATTCTATTCTATTCCATTGGCTTTCTCTAATTGCAAAATTCATTCATGAAGCCTAATCTTGCTTTATTCCAAGGCGTAATCTGAATATTACACTGGGTGGAAAGTGGGATTTAACTACGGTTTCACTTTCTGATTGCGCTTTTGTGACATAATGGAGAAATCTCTAGGGAGATTCTCATTTATCCAGGGTCAGGGTTGTCACAAAGGTGCTTTTACTTGATTTTTCTTTAAGACATTTCACTTCTCATCCAAGAATATTTTCCGGTTCTGTGAAATGCCTTGAAGCAAAAGCAGAATGTCCAGTTACCTTTAAAATAAAAGCACCTTTCGGATAAATGGAAAAATCTAAACTTCAAGTCTTCCTTCAATTATACCATCTGATTCTAGACATTAGATTTTGTGTTTCAGAGGCTAAAATTTAACGCATTAGATTTTGTGATTCAGAGGCTAAAATAAGGAAACATACCTGTAAGAAACACATTGTTCATAAAGACAGATGCAAGGATTTGAAAATCAGAATCGGTCACTTTCTGCACAGGTACCAAGCGGTTATTCCCAGCTATTTTCACAGTTACCCTTTGGGTCAACCTGTGGACAACATAAACGGAAGCTCTTTTTGTTGCCGCGCTTCCATTTTATTTCACTCCAATTAAAAGGGAGGTTTAAACATTATTCATGGATTTGCAGAGAGTCCTCTTTCTCTTTCATTGGAGAGGAAAAAGTTCTTCACAGTCTGAAATGGATCCAGGCATGGGCAGATGGATTTTTAAAAGCCATAAGTCTCATTCAGTTTGCTCCAAAGTATATGATATCATGATGCAACACCCCTTCCTCTTAATATCAGCAATGCAATAGATTCTATTTACCATATAGGGAGTTTTCCCCAGGATTTCATGCCTAGTAATTTCATTGCTTTGGCTAGAAGGCAGAAAAGCTGTCTTATCTATTGAGTCACAGGATCAGTTCATCTAGCCCAGGATTATCAGTCATTTGGCAAGATGCAGTTTGGGCTTTACGCAGATTCCCCGCCTCACCAATCCTTAACAAGAGCAGAAATTGAACCAGGTATTATTCTCTGCAGGAAAATCCCTTTGTTCTGTCTCTAAAGGATAACTTGTTCATCCCCAGCTGGGCTGCAGAGATTTGAAATCTAAGCTGCCTCTGGTTCTTTTTTCATATGAAGAATGTGCTCTTTGGTTGAGCAATGCATACAGCCTCAAAGGCCCAATGCTATAACTCCAAGCCAGCTCCGTGATTTGAAAGCATACAAACAATTCTGCATTGAACTACTACAGCATTCCATTATTGGACAAATAATCCTACATGTCTGCTTTAATTTCCAGAATCTCACAATTTTCTTATGACTCTTATGAAATGAATTCTGGGAGCAACATCTAGTAAAGATCTCAAAAATCTCACCAGTAGGACTTGGGAAAATCTGATAAATCTCCGTTGAGAACTGGAGGGTAAAGTTTCTTAACCTTCCTCTGTTCTACCTCATTGCATAATATGAATACATAGAGACACATTTGCATATGAGTATTTCTCAACTTACAAAAGGTGTTTTTTTTCAAGAGGCAACCGGACTTTCTGGTTTTTCTTGCAAGATGTTTCGCCTGTCCATCCAAGAAGCTTCTTCAGAGCTGAAGAAGCTTCTTGGATGAGATGCAAAACATCTTCCAAGGAAAACCAAAAAGTCCAGTTGCCTCTTGAAAAAGCACCTTTGGGACAACCATGACTGAGAACCTCTATAGACACTCTCAGCTTATAACCATAATTGAGCCAAAGTTATGGTTCTAAGTCATGATATTCATAGGTCAAGGCACCCATGTGGTCAACTCAAATGCAGCCTTCGTTACGTGAATGTGATGGTTGTTAAGCGAGTCAATGCATTCTTAGGGAGATTTTTTTTAAAAAATAAATAGCATAAATTACATCGTGACCCGTCAAAACCGCGGAGGACAAAATCGCGCTCGACGAAAGCGCGCATGTGACGTCATCACAGCGCGACGAAAAAAAATTAAAATTGAAATAAAATTAAAATTAAAGCAATCCGATTCACATAAAGGTAAGGGTTAGGTTAAGGGTTAGGGTTAGGGTTAGGTTAAGGGTTAGGGTCAGGTTTAGAGCGTTAGCGTTAGGTTTAGCGTTAGGTTAAGGGTTAGCGTTAGGTTTAGCGTTAGGTTAACGGTTAGGTTTAGGCTTAGATTTAGGGTTAGGTTAAGGGTTAGGTTTTGGGTTAGGTTTAGGGTTAGGTTTGGGGGGGTTAGGGTAAGGTTTTAGCTTTATTTTTACATTTTTCGATCACAGCGCGATGTTTTCGTCGCGCTGTGATGACGTCAAATGCGCGCTTTCTTCGAGCGCGATTTTGTCCTCCGCGATTTTGTGGTGGAACCAAATTACATTAGGTGACTGTGGAACACTGCAGCCAGCTGTAAAGGCAAATGCCCAAAATGCAGTCATGTGACTATAGAGAGTGTCACTCTTGGAACCGGGTGATAAGTACCTTGGAGGGGGGTAATCCCTCCAAATAGTTGCCAAGCACCCAGTCATTAAGCAAGTACTACGTGTACTTTATATGTATCCTGAAGCTTGCAGAATCCGGATTTTCCTGCTGCAAAAATCATAGTTTTCAAAAATATTTCGTAGGCCCAGAATATTTAATGAGTTATTGGCTTAGTTTTATTATGTTGCCTTACGATTCATCAGGGAGTGCCACTTCTTGGAGAATGTGCTTTATGAATGGGTTCACAGGTTGTTTTACTTCTCTGCAGGTTTCAAAATATTGTTGATCCAGGCTCATGTATGCTAGCATGCTTTCCTAAAATGGAAAGGAAAAGAGTGAGAAAACAGTCACCGGATCGATAGCATCTGTGAGCAGCATCGTCATGAATAGTCACTCACAAGAAACCCTCGGCTGATTCTGGGTGTAGGTTTAGGGAATCTTCCCACAAATTGGAAGGAAGGAACTGGTAGCAGCTGGTGGCACAGATACATTTGGCCTCTGGAGACCAATCCAGAGCCCACAATCCAGGAAGCTAAATCAGTGTTTCTCAAACTTGGTAACATGAAGACCCATAAACTTCAATTGCTGGCTGGGGAAATCCCGGAATTGAAGTCCCACATGTCTTTATGTCACCAAATTTGTAACATTTCTCCAAATGATCACCTGGAAAGAAGGAAATAGAAATGCCTGTAGTCCTCAATTTGTGACAACTGAGCCCCAAATTTCCGTAGCTAAGCGAGACAGTTGTTAAGTGAGATGTGCCCCATTTTCTGACCTTTCTGGCCATAGTTATTAAGTAAATCACTGCTGTTGCTAAAATTAGTAACCTGTCGTTAAGAGAATCTGACCTCCTTACTGATTTTGCTCATCAGAGGGTTGCAAAAGATGATCATATGACCCTGGGAGACTGCAATTATGCTAATAAATGCATGATGAATGGAATGGATGGAACAGAGTAGAATAGAGTTCTTTATTGGCCAAGTGTGATTGGACACAGGAGGAATTTGTCTTTGGTACATATCCTCTCAGTGTACATAAAAGATATAAGTGAAAAATCATGATCACAGTCATCATAAATACATTCATCATGAATCATAAGATACAACGCTTGGTGATAGCTGTAGGATACTAAATAAGCAATCAACATAAATCATAGTAGGAACTAATAAACAATATAAATCATAAAAATATAAGCAACAAAGTTATAGGCATAAGTAGAAAAGGAAATGGGCAACAGGAAGGTTGAGAAGAATAGTAGTAATACAGTCTTGCGAATTATTTGACAGTGCAATAGCAATAGCAGTAGACTTATATACCGCTTCATAGGCCTTTCAGCCCTCTCTAAGCGGTTTACAGAGAGTCAGCATATTGCCCCCAACAATCTGGGTCCTCATTTTACCCACCTCGGAAGGATGGAAGGCTGAGTCAACCCTGAGCCGGTGAGATTTGAACCGCTGACCTGCTGATCTAGCAGTAGCCTGCAGTGCTGCATTTAACCACTGCGCCACCTTGGCTCCTCCAGTGTTGTGGGAATTAGTTGTTTGGCAGAGTGATGGCATTGGGGGGGGGGGGGGAAACCTGTCCTGGTGTCTAATTGTTCTGGGGTGCACCATATGCCTGAATTTTGATCACATGACCATGGGGAACGCTGCAACTGTCATAAGTATGAAAAATGGTTCTGTCACTTTTTTCAATGCCACTGCAACTTCAAACAGTCACTAAACAAACCGTTGTCCAGTAAGGGACACAGGCTCAGCTATCACCTTTGGGACACCAGGATTACTGACGCTCAGTGAATATCTTTTCTTCTAATTTTTAAAGATCCACATATAATCTGGGCATTCTGGCTGTTTACAGATGTTCATTGGCATATTTCCGCGTATACCACCACGAGAAGGAGCGCATGACAAAGAGAGGGAGACCCTGGCCGTGCATTTCTAGCCTCCTACCGCCTACCTGTATTGACGCTGCCTTTTTCCCTCCGTGGCCGCGAAGCGATTCCTTTGCAAAGGTCGGAACGCTCGAGAGAAACACACGCTACCCGGACCGGGGTTGCTATGGCGACCACACACGCTTTTCGAAATGGGCATGCGCCGCTTTCCCCCCCACCCCGGTTGTAGCCGTCTAAAGCAGGGGTCCCCAAACTTGGCAACTTTAAGACTTGTGGACTTCAACTCCCAGAATTCTCCAGTTAAAGTCCAGTTGAAGTCCACAAGTCTTAAAGTTGCCAAGTTTGGCTGCTCTAGAGACTTGGCAAGGATGCGATTTGATGCCTTTCCTTTCCTGCGAAGTGGCCAAGGGCTGCGGTTGGCCACATTCTCACATTCTGAGTCAAAATGCCAAGATGCCCCTTCTTAGCCAGTGGTTTGCTAGGGGGGGGAAATAGCAGGAGGAAGGAGCAGTGCTTTCAGCCCCTGTATGGGAAAAAAAAGGGGGGGAGATATTAATCTGTCAGACAATCAATCAATCAATCAATCGTTTTTCATGCCTTTTAATTCTTTTTTTGGGGGGGGGAGTTGGAATTTGGCCCATTCGCTTCCACTGAAACTCAGTCTTAGCTGTGTGACAAGATGTTGGACATCTTTCCTTGCCTAGTTAAATACATCTAAACACAATGACCTCCACATCTTAGCCCATATGGAAACATGCATTGCCCCTTCCTCCTTAAATTCTGGAGTAAAAAGAAAAATGAAGTGTCCTTTCAGTTGAGGTTGACTCCAAATGACTTTGTATATATCTGTGGAGTTTTCTTGGCAACTGAAAGATTTGCCATCTGGAGTCGGTAGTTCAGGTCGGGCAGGAGGCGAGAGCGCGGCGCGTAAAAACGCAGGAGTAGGGAAACACCCCCCACCCCCCAAAAAAAAACCCCGCAACGGAGCAGCCCAGCTGAGCCAGGCCATTCTCTCTCTCCCCCCCCTCCCTCCACTTCCCCTCCCTCTAGCCTGGGCCCGGCGATGGGGAAGGTCCAGCTCTTCGAGATCCGCTTGAGCGACAGCCGGGTGGTCTACAGTCCCGGCGAGCCGCTGGTGGGAAGCGTCACCGTTCGCTTTTCAGGAGCTCTCCAATATCGCGCTATCAAAGTGAGCTCCGTGGGCTCTTGTGGAGTATCCAAGAAGATAAACGACACAGCGTGGACGGTGGAAGAGCCATCTGGAGTCGGCTTCCATTGTCCAGTCTGGATTGCAGCTTTGCAATGTCCCTGTAATATCCCAAGCAAGGCTGACTCTACTGTAGTTATTTGTGGCATCAGCTGAGGTTGGCCATCTAAGGCATGGCTTAATGGAAAAAACCTAAGATTTCTCAGGTTGAGAGTTCTCAATAAATATCTGTCTCATCTCCTTTTTAAAAATCTCCAGACAAAAATATTTCCTCTGCAAAGGTACCTAATTCAATTAATGTAGTCTGAGGGCACTTCTACCAAGGGTAGAAAGCTCCCTGCTTTCATCAAAACTGAACTCAGCCTATTTATTTCTAGGTCAATTACAACTCAATGTAATCTATTTTGCAGGATACAGTTTCGGAAATCCACCATGCTTTGAGATGAACTATTTTTTTTCATTAGCAGCAATTCCAGCTCCTTGGCAATTTCCATTCCCAACTGTTTGCCAAACAACCAAAGAATCATTGTTACACAGGATATTGGTAAAGGCTGAAGACAGATGGGTATTCCTTCCTTCCTTCCTTCCTTCCTTCCTTCCTTCCTTCCTTCCT